TAAGTTGTCTCCCTGCTCTGGAGCATATCTCATAGATAGTGTTGAGCCAAAAGTAAAACAGAAGAAAGGTTCTGCTATTTAACCTCACCAAGCCTCATTTTTTTCTTGTGTAAAATGAGGATTAAAAATTAGGGGAATAATATCCACCTTACAGAAAGGAAAGGAGAAAATGAACAACAGTCACGCTTGCGGGCAAGCAGTAAGATCTCAGCTGGGGGACAGCGCCTGCTGTCGTGTCAGCCTTCTGGGTGGCTGAGGCAGGAGGACCACATGCTCCAGTTTCAGCTAAGCAATTTAGCTTCTGAGACCATTTTGATATGGGGGGTGCTGGGGATCCCTCGTAAGGTCTCAGTAAAGGATAGTTAATGATAGTCATATCCATTTGGGTTGTTAATTGCAGCAGAACCAAATTGTTGCTGATTAAGTTTTTTTGTGTATTTAGTACAGGGTCTACAGGGTCTCACTACATAGATTGGACTTGTAGTGATCCTCCTGTTTTCAGCCTCCCAAGCCCTGGGATTACAGGCCTTACCACCACGGTCTATCTCAGTCACTGTCTTATTGAGACCCAGGGGTGGGGCCAGTACCGCATGCCCGGCCGGGCTTGAGCATGGCTGCTGCAACTGCCTAAACAGGTACTTTAAGCCGCTGAGCTATCTAGCTGGCTCTTGCTGATTAAAAGTAATGCAGAAAAGCAGCTGGGGGGTAGTCTGGAACCCCAGACTCAGAGACAGCAAGGAAGAAAGCAAGGATTCCAGAGCCAGGCCAGGCCTAGCCCAGCTACCCTGTGGGTGCTGACTGGGCCACTCAAGAGGGCTGGATGGGTCAGGTAAGAATTGCTTTTTCCACCAAAGCATGCAGATGCTACAGGGCCTGGACCTGGAGGATGAGCACAGACGAAAGGGGGCGGAGGAACCTGTGGGACCACAGTGCCCGGCAACCTGATGGCACAGGGAGCCCAGGGCCCACTGAACCAACCAGGGGGAAGGGAGCCAGGACTTAGCCTCCCCGGCAGAGGAGAGGCCCAGGCTGTAAGGGCTGGTGGCATCTGTGGGTTACTTTTAGGTTTGTTTTTGTTGTGTTTTGCTTTTAGAAAGGATTCTTGGAAAAAAGAGGGTCGGCCTTGGTCTTCTCAAATGACCAAAATCTTCAAGTTTTAAAAATAAGACAGTAAACAGCTGCCCCATTTATGAGGTATGATAAAAAATATGGTGAATCCTTCAATTTTTTTTAATGATCCATAGAGTACACACATGTTGCCACTGCCCACCCCATTCTGCCATGATGTCTCAAGTCCATTCAGACTTTTCCCTTCCGGGTCATTTTGGGAAAGAGCCAGGAGTTCACAGCTTCAGATCCAGTGAATCCACATGGGACACACCATACTGTATCATGAGCCTCCTTTCTTGGATAGCACCAGCTGCAGCATTTGCTGGATTTGATCATACCTCTTAGATACATGCAGGATTTACAGAATTGCTTCAGAATGTGGCTCAAGTCTGATGGGATAAACAAGTTCCAAGGGAGGTGGTGTTTTGAGGGGGAATTGATTTATTGTAGAAAACTTTTAAATGCTAAATTAAACATATACCTTGTCATATTAGAAGAAGCAACCAATGAATCATTGTGGGAAGTCCAAACTTGCTTCTTTAGTATGAGTCTCTGAAAATTTCAAATTATTAGCAAATAGGAGTAATAAACATAATAAATATAAACAATACATGAGTACAATGTTCTAAGATTTTCTCACATTGCTTAAGTAAAATGACAGTGGATTTTCCCTGACTTTACTCACTCATTATGCCTGTTTCGTTTTATGTTTTAATTTTTTTCATGCATCTGTTTCTAACCACAAGTAGCACTTAATTTCTTCCTTTTCCTGGTGGAGCTACCAGAAAGAAACTTAAATAGTGAGACTTAGTGGAGCCAGGAACACAGCAGAGTTCAGCAAACGGGTCTTCTTGTCCTGACCAGGGTGGCCTTCTGCGTCCTGCAGTCCCTCCGGAGTCACGGTGCTCCGTCCCCGTCTGCACCCTCACCCCACAGCTAATCATCAGCATCTTCCCTAGTTTCCACAATCTTTACCTTATCTTTATCTTACACACACACACACACTACTGGGGGGGAGTAAAATAAGGTGATTTCTTTTTTTTCATTCTTTTCTTTCTTTCTTTTTCTTTTTCTTTTTTTTTTTAAAGACAGGGTATGATTACTCCCTACGGGTCCCAACCTGGCCTCAAACCCGTGATCTTGCCTCAGTCTTCCAAGTGCCAAAGCAGGGCTTCTTAGTTGCATGAGATTGTTTAAAATCATGTACGCATGATTGTGAAGCAGTCAGTGGAATGTTCCATCAACCTTACTGGGAACCGAAGCATCGGACCTTTCTTTCACCTGCGGGAAAGCCTTGCCCTAGCCACCTGCAACCCCAGTCCCACGGCCAGAAGGCGGGGCGGGGTGCAGTTCAGCGCTCCAGCAGCAGGGGGCGCGCGTCGCCAGCAGCAGCGCCTTCGGAGGCGGATCCCACGGGTGAGGCGCCGCCGACGCGCAACACCTGGACCGCGAAGCGGGGTTACGCGTTGCTCCTCCGCAGGGCAAAGGGAGGACAGCTGAGGACGCTGCCGAGATGGGGTGGGGGTGTGACTCGCGCGACCGTAATTTCTCGCGGGAACGCGACTGGCCCATCTGTCTGCCCACAGGCCAGACGTGGAGGGGGGGCACACAGCACGATCAGGAAGGCGAGTAGCACTTCATGAAATAGAATGCAATTTCTATTGGAGCGTGGTCCCTAAAGGTACAGCTCAGTGTTGCTTTTTTGGTTAATGTGTTGTATATTAAGAGCTTTGCACAGCGCTTATAATTGTGCAGCTTTTGGCACAGCCTTGAGCACGACTATACTGGTAGCTTATCCAAGAACAACCGCGTTGCTCCGTTCACCCCCATGCCCACAGCAGGTGGTTAACTGCAAAGACTGAGAAAACGACGCCTAGTTTTGTTTTGAGACAGGGTTTCTGTACAGCACAGGCTGGCCTTGACATCGTGAGCTTCCTGCCTCAGTTTCCCTAGTGCTGGGATGACAGGTTTGCACACCACGCCTAGCCAGGCACCTAGGCTGAAACCCTTCCTCGGCAGCTTCCTAGCTGTGACTTTACCGCGCTACCTAAGCTCTCTTCGACTTCTCAGTATAAAGGGGCATGCTAAAGCAAACGATGGCTAACTACATTTTGTGCAGGAAGTAGCCAGGAGGTTGGTAGGGGGGCCAATGATGTCCTGGATGAAAAGAAAGTTGGTGCTAGAATGTGGAAGATGCACGTGAGTTTTGTATTGTCGGCCGTGTGCTAAAGCCTGTGGACGTACCCTTCAAGCTCAGCTCCAGGATCTCACATTCTCTTTACCTAGACACGTGTCAGGGTGAAGAACTCGCTCACCGCAGGGCTTGATGCGCTGAAAGCCGCATCTCTTGCTTCTAGTCTGCGTTGCATGAGCACTAGGCGGATTAATTGCAAGAGTCTGTCCCAAGAAGACAGCGAAGCAGATTCTGCAGAGCTCCAAAGTCCCCTTCTTGCCCCCCGCCCCAGGCGAGACAATCCCTACAACCTACAAGGCACTGTCCTCTCCTCCCACCACCTGCTACCCAGGGACTGGAAGGGGCTGAAGAGTGCGGTTGCAGAAGGCTTCCAAGTGTCTATATAAGTCAGATTCAAGCTGCGGCTGTTAGAGTTCCCTTCCCAGGGTCTAGGAGCTCAGCTCGAGCGTCAGGCCTCACTGGGATCCACATTCATTGGTTACCAATACATAAATCACCATAACTTTGTTCTTTCTGAAATGTCACACTTGGGAGCGTTACTGGTTTTTAAAATAATCGCACTATTTAAAGTAATTGCCTTAAGTTAGGAGCGACAGCACACACCTGTAATCTTAGCACTCTGGGAGGCTGAGGCAGGAGGACCACAAGTTTAAACCCAACTTGGTCAACTTAGCAAGACCTGCCAAGTCCAGCCCCCACCAAGATTGGGGATGTAATTCAGAAAGCAAACAAACCTAGGCAGGCAGGCAGGCAGGCAGGCAGGCAGGCAGGCAGGCAGGCAGGCAGGCAGGCAGGCAGGCAGGCAGGCAGGCAGGCAGGCAGGCTGGGCATGTAGGGCAGATCGGATTCAATCCTGCTGTCGCTAAATAAATAGCTGCTTTAACGTGTGCAAACTAGCAACGCCAAGTGTTTTATTAGTGAAGTAAGTTTATTTCGAAAACAGACTTCGCTCTGTCTCGCTCTAATATACACAATAACTCCTCCAAAACTGGCAGCAGCCTCCACTGGCAGCCCCGGGCAGGGTCATTGAGAAAGGCCGATCCCTGCCTCCCTGTTTCGCGCGGGAACAGGACAGGGAACGTGACACGTGGCGACTGCGCGTGCTCACACTGTCCGCCCAGCTTGAGCGGAAACTGGATGCACTATGGGACGACTGCGCATGCTCACATAACCCCATCTCCCATTGCAGCCTTGGACGCCACTGTGGCCATTTCGCCCAAGGCAGCTTGGCACAAGCCTTCCTTTCTGCGACGTGGACGCGCTTCTCCTCCCCGGGCCTGAACCGTTTGGAAGCCGACACGCGCGCCTCTTCCTGGGGCCCCCCGCGCAGGCTTGCCAGTAGTCAAGATGGCGCCGCCATCCGCGCCCTTCCATTGGTCCAGGGCCTGCGGCCCCGCCCACCACGGCTGCGTGTGCCGTCACGCCGCTCACGACGCGTGCGCGGCGGCGGCGCTGGGAGGCGGGGCGGCCGGGCTTCCTTGTGCGGCGGCGGCTTCCTCAGCGCGGTTCCGGGCGCGCTAGGGTAGCCTCGACGGGCGAACGCCGCGGGAGGAGGGTCC